GGGTGGGGGGGTAGAACTTGAATGATGGGGCGATGCGTTGGGAGAGGGGCAGTGGGGAACGGAGCGGTACAGCTGAGGGTCCCATCCCCCTCCACGCAGTGAGCCAGCACTCCGGGGTCCTCACGAACCACCTGGGGACCAGCGCCTCCTCCCCCACCTCTGAGTCCGACACCCACGCACTTTTAGACGAGAAAGGAAGACTCCTATTTCTCTGAAATCAGAAACTTCATCGCCAACAGCGAGATGAGCCAGGCATCGGCGCGAACAGACACACGGTAAAGGAAGCCCCTGCCGGGCCCCGGGGCAGTGTGTGCGCCCAGCCCCCCTGTGCGGCTGAGCCCAGAGCCGGGCACCCCGCCCCGCACCTGTCCCCGGGCCGGGCCCAGGGCTCTGCAGCGGATCCCATTCCGTCCCAGCTCTGCCGCCTGGAAGCCGGAGAGTGTCAGCAAGGGCTCCCCCTGCCTCAGTTTCTCCCCCTGGACGCGGCATGGCCTTGGCATTCACACGTGTGCAACCAAGTGTCAGCAGTGGGGGAGACACCACGGCCCTCGCCGCCTGAGACTCGGGGACACTTGCTTAGCCCCAGGCACTGAAGGTTTCCGAACAATAGTGCTGCCCCTTTAAACACAGACACATGCACACGCACACACGTGAGCACACACAGAGACACACACCAGCAGCACAGAAAAATGGAGGATTCGGGTTCAAGAAGGAGGAGGGCGTCTGCACAACCCCGCTCACGGGGCTCAGCTCGTGGCACTGCCCTGCCCCCCCCCATCCCCCGCCCCCGCAAGGACCTCCGACCCCAGGAAGAGCTGGTCCTTGGGAGATGGCTGGTGCCAGACCGGGCGTCCGAGAACCAGAGACACGGCCAACTCCCAGAGGCCTCGGGGTGCCATCCCCCAGTTCCTCAGAGGGGAAACTGAGGCCCGGAGGGGTGGGGCGCCTGGCTCCAGCCACACAGCCAGGCCCAGGGCACTGCCGCCGTGGTGGCCACGGGTGGGCTGCAGCTCTACCGTCCCCGGGCCCAGGGCCCCCATCCACCCCCAGCGGGTGAGGCAGTGCCCAGGAGAGGGGTCCCTGCCCTCGGTATTCCCAGGGCGCCACCCTACCCCCTGACCTTGGCATGCGCGTCCGCCAGGGCTTCCCTGCTGCTCAGGGCAGGGGAGTGAGGGAGGCTCAGACGGAGGCGGCTGCCCGAGTCCCCAGAGAGCCGGGCCGAGCCAGCCACACACCAGGCCCTCGGACCGGCCCGTCCAGGGAGCCCGGAGCCCTGGCTGGAGGTGCCCCCCGTCACTGTTGAAAGTGGGAACCAGGGTCTCGGTCAACGTACATCCCTCAAGTGCGGGGCCCCCGGCAGATCCGTGGGGCCAGTGTGAACGGATGGTCCTCACTCGGCACCGCTGCCCTTGAGCGTCAGGGGGAGTTCAGGCCCCACCGGGGTCCCGGCCTCACGGCTAACGGTGCCCCTGCAGGTCCCTCGGCTGGAGGCCTGGCCCGCAGGGGCCTCGGAACGTGACCTGATGGGGGAGATGCGGCCGCACTGGGGTTGGGTGACCCTCATCCCACGTGACTGGGGACCTTGTAAACGGGGAGATTTGGACGCAGACGTGCACATAGGATGGATGTCATGCGAAGACGGAGCAGAGGGGGGGGCGGGTCTACAGGCCGAGGAAGCGGGCAGCCACCCGGAGTGGGGGCCTGGGCCGGGTCCCCCTCACAGCCTGAGGGACCATCCCCGTGGCACCTGGACCTTGGGCGCCAGCTCCAGAACCGGAAGAGAAGGTCCGGTTGTTGATGCCCGGCGTGGGCTGTGTCCCGGCCATGGGCTGTGTCCCGGCTGCCCCGGGACATGCACGCGCCCCGGGCAGCTGTTTGGAGGCCTGCACGCATGTCCTGTGTCCTCTCTGCCTGAAGCGGGCACCAGGCGCCGGGCCCCCCACGGTGCCCGCTGGGCCCTCAGCACCCCAGCCGGTGCGGGGCCTGCCAATGAGCAGATCCTCGGGGGGCTGGGGGCGGGCACACAGATGAAGAGCCTGGTCCCGGCCCTGGCAGAGGTGCCACATGGAAACGTGCCCAGTGCGTGCGGGTTCCACGGAGGACACACGGGGCTGCGGGCGGCACATGCTCCGCATCCGGTGCCCGCAGCTGCCCGCCTGCTCACCGCGTCCTCAGCATGGGGATGGGGGGGCGGGGTCTCACGTCCCTGAGAGGGCACAGGGCTCGAGGGGCCAGGACCCCCCAAGGCCCCTGCAGAGAGCCCACAGGAGACAGGACTCTGTTGGCCCCATCACCCGGTCCAAGGGCCGCCACCCCCCACCCCCCGTCACGGTGGGATGGGTGCGCGCCCGGTGCCCACACAGGTGCCCGGTGACAAGGAAACACGCTGGGCCCACCCCCCTCCCCAAGGCGGGTCAGCTGTCAGAATCCCTCTCCTCCTCACGGGACGACGAGGAATGAAGACACACGGGCGGGCACACGGTCGGTCCCCGGCACAAGGGCGAGCCCCAGACCTGCCCTGTTGGAGGTCAGAGGTCACTGGGGAGGAGGCCCGCCTGCCGGACGCTGAGAGAGGACCGTGTCCCTGGCCCAGTGGACGGATTCCCGTCGGCCCTGCGGGTCCAGGAGGTGCAGGGTCTGGGAGCCCGGAGCTCAGGTCAGGCGTGGGCGCAGCCAGCGAGCGCCTTGCCTGCCACCTCCCTGCACGCGTGCTGGACACCTGGGGCCTCCTGCCCCCCGGACCCCCGTCACGGGCTTCCTGATGAGCGGAACCCAGGCCTGAGGGAAGCGAGGACTCACGCCCGCCCCGCGCTCCCTCTGCCTGTGGTCACGGGGACCACAGTGGGAGCCCCGCCCGGGCTGGAGGGGCCCAGGGGCCTGCACGTCAGGGGACTTGTCCCTGAGGCAAACCTGTCCTGGCGGGTCTGCCACTGACTGAACCCCAGAACGCAGACTCCGTCTACTGAACCCCAGGACCCAGACTCCGTCCACTGAACCCCGGGACCCAGGCACCATCCACTGAACCCCAGAACACAGACTCCGTCCACTGAACCCCGGGACCCAGACACCATCCACTGAACCCCGGGACCCAGACACCGTCCACTGAACCCCAGAACCCAGACTCCGTCCACTGAACCCCAGAACACAGACTCCGTCCACTGAACCCCAGAACCCAGACTCCGTCCACTGAACCCCAGAACACAGACTCTGTCCACTGAACCTCGGGACCCAGACTCCGTCCACTGAACCCCAGAACACAGACTCCGTCCACTGAACCCCAGAACACAGACTCCGTCCACTGAACCCTGGGACCCAGACACCATCCACTGAACCCCGGGACCCAGACACCGTCCACTGAACCCCAGAACCCAGACTCCGTCCACTGAACCCCAGAACACAGACTCCGTCCACTGAACCCCAGAACACAGACTCTGTCCACTGAACCTCGGGACCCAGACTCCATCCACTGAACCTCGGGACCCAGACTCCGTCCACTGAACCCCAGAACACAGACTCCGTCCACTGAACCCCAGAACACAGACTCCGTCCACTGAACCCCGGGACCCAGACTCCGTCCACTGAACCCCGGGACCCAGGCACTGTCCACTGAACCTCGGGACCCAGACTCCGTCCACTGAACCCCAGAACACAGACTCCGTCCACTGAACCCCGGGACCCAGACTCCGTCCACTGAACCCCAGGACCCAGGCACTGTCCACTGAACCCCAGGACCCAGGCACCATCCACTGAACCCCAGGACCCAGGCACTGTCCACTGAACCCCAGGACCCAGACTCCGTCCACTGAACCCCAGAACTCAGGCACCATCCACTGAACCCCAGGACCCAGGCACCATCCACTGAACCTTGGGACTCAGACTCCATCCACTGAACCTTGGGACTCAGACTCCGTCCACTGAACCCCAGGACCCAACACCCCTGCAGAACCCCGGAATCCAACACCGTCCACAGAATCCCGGGACCCAACGCCGTCCGCTGAGGGGCCCCTGGCCTGGGCCGTCCCACGTCCTGAGTCCCCGAGGCTGGAGGTGCAGCACCTTCGGGCTGGGCCACAACCCTCCCCGGACGTCTCCTGTGCCCGCCGGACCCTGGCCCAGCACCAGGCCGGCCACGGCGCCCGACACACAGTGTCCGCTCTGCCAGGAGCTCTGCCAGGGAGGGCCCCTGCCTGTCCCCGGCCACACGCTTAGCGGCATCCTCCTCTTCTTGAGTCGCTCACCCCACAGGGACGGGCTGGGACCAGGCAGGGACAGCGCAGGCCCACAGCTCAGGGATCTGGGGCCACAGAGGCACGCTCTCCAGGGGGGCTGGGAGGGTCGGGGTGCAGCGGGGGAGAGCTGACCGGAGCTGAGTCACCGGCCTTTGGGAGTCGGTGGCCAACTCCCTCCCGTGCCGTTCCAGGCCAGAGGTCCAGGAGCTGGACGGCACCGCGCCGTGCCCAGGCCTGGCCAGCGGGAAGCCAGAGGACGGCGAGGAGGAGGAGGAGGAGGAGCTGGAGGAGGAGGACGATGACAGCCTCGCGGGGAAGTCCCAGGACGACAACGTGTCCCCCGCGCCCGAGCCCCAGGGCGCCTACGAGGACGAGGAGGACGAGGAGCCCCCCGCCTCCCTGGCCGTGGGCTTCGACCACACCCGAAGGTGGGTGCCGGCCTCCGGGCCATGGCCGGGCAGCTGAGAGAGCCGGGGCCCAGCCAGGGAGGACCCTGAGCACCACGAGGGTGACTCACTCCCAAACCTGCAGAGAGCCTCCCCCTCCCTGCTGGCCCTCCTCCCTGAGTGTCTCTACCACGGGGGCTTCTGCACGTAGGCCAGGGAGAGCCCCGGCCTGGGGAGGGGGCCAGGCCCAGCCACGCACACACACCACATGCAAACATGCACACACACGTGCACACATGTAAACATATGCAGACGTGCACATGCAGACACATGCATAGACCTGTGCACGTGTGCATGCACTCGCACATGTGTGTACCCGCAAACACGCACATGTGCACACACGAGGTGCGTATGTATGCAAACATGCATATGTGCAAACACGTGAGTGGGCATATGCGTGCATGTACATACACTCGTGTGTGTACATGCACATCCAGAGGCCTGGGAGCAGAGTGGAGGGGAAGGCACGGAGCGAGCTGGTCCAGCCGCAGAGCCACATGGTATCTGTCGCCTGGGGGTGCCGTCCAGCGTCCCGCGGGCGCTGTGGTGCCGAGACTGAGCCCCGTAGTTCTGGAAGTTGTGCCAACCAGAGCCCCTTCCCCTGCATCCCGAGTGCTGGCCACGCCCCTGGCAACGGGCAGTGCCAGCTTCCAGGAGCCCCTGAGGAGTCGCTCCACAGACAGCCACCCCCCCCCCGGGTCCTGGGACTGGGGTCCTGAGCCCCCCCAGCTGCCCAGACTCTTGGGAACCAAGGCCTCCCCTCTGTCCTTGCCCCTGGAAGCCTGGATGCCCTGCCTGCTACTTGCAACCACTCACCCGCTCCATGGTCCTCTGTCTGTGCTTTCCTGCATCCGTGTGGCTTCCGTCCTGTGTCCGTGTGTCCGTGTGTCTGTCTTGTGCATGTGGCTCATGGAGACCCGTGGCGTCACGTGTCTGTCATGTGCATGCGGCGTCAGGGCCGAGGCCGCGGCTCACAGGCCTCTCCGGTTGGTGCAGGTGCGCTGAGCAGCCGCCGGCGGGCGGTCTCTTAGCTTTGGAGCCGATGCCGACTTTTGGGAAGGGGCTGGACCTGCGCAGAGCAGCCGAGGAAGCGTTTGAAGTTAAAGATGTGCTTAATTCCACCCTAGACTCTGAGGCTTTAAAACAGACCCTGTACAGGCAGGCTAAGAACCAGGTAGGTACCCGCAGGCCCTCCCACCTCCCAGGTGAGGCAGGGGCAGCCTTACCTCTCGCATGGCCACCCCGGGCCTGCCTCGGGGCCCAGGACCCCCTGGCCCGCCCGTGCCCATGGCATTGGCTAAAGAGACGCCCCAGCGACCGGCACGTCCCTGCAGCAGCAGCGGGGAGGGAGGGTTGAGAGCAGAAGGACCTGGACAGGTCACTCAGGGACTGGAGGTCACTGTCCTGGCATCCCCAGAAGGCGGTACCGCAAGCAGGTTCCCGGGTGAGGCTGCCCTGCCTCCGCCTCTGTGACCTGCCAGAGTGACGGAGCCAGGTTTCCTCGTAGCCAGCTGCCCCCGGGTGCACGGGGCCGCGCTGGAGCCCTGAGGGGTCAGGGAGGACGCAGGCTTGGCCGGGGCCCGTTCCCGAGTGTAGCGGCCGCAGAACGCGCCTCCCGTCTGAAGTCCACAGGGTCTCAGTCAGCTCTGCAGCTCCCGAGTCTCAGCAAAACCGTCTGTGTGTCTGTCTGTGTCTTTTTACTAATTCTGTCCGGTGTTGACTCCCCACCAGCCCGCCCTGCGGGTGCCGTCACCTCGCACCCCGTGGCTCACGGCAGAAGGTGCCCTGGGACTGAGCACACGCGTGTCCCCCCGCACCACCCGTCCCCACAGCGTCCCCTGGGCAGGGCCTGACTGCGGACGGGGTCTTAGCGATGACCACCGGCACCCCCGGGGCCCCACAGTGCCCGCTTGCCCACGGGTTTGGTCACCAGGCAGAGAAAAGGGGTGGAAGAGGTGACTGCAGGGGGAACACCCGAGAGGCCAAGGGACCCCTCTGCCGGGGCCATGGCGTCCGAGCTCCCCTCTGCGGCCTCCCGTCTCCCTCATCCAGGCCTGGCTGGGGGAATCTGGCCTCCATGGGCCGGGCCCTGGCACCGGCCCTCTCTCCTCCCGTGTGGGTCTGAGTGGGCCAAGACGGCGGGAGGCGGGAGGGGCCGAGGACGGAACCGGCCGGGGTCCCACGGCTCACCTGCCGCCTGTGTCCCGTGTCCTCCCCGCCAGGCGTACGCAATGATGCTGTCCGTCTCCGAGGACCCTCCTCTCCGCACCTCCGCCCAGAGCCCCCTGGATGCGTGGCTGAGCATCACGGGACCCGCGCCCGAGGCTGGAGCCTTTAACCCCATCAACCACCTCTGACCGGCCCGGGGGGCTGGGGCTTGCGGGGTGACCTCGGGCCCCGCATCGCGACAGAAATCCCAGCGAGGCCTCAGGAGCCAGGGAGACCCTCGCCCCTGCATCCGACGGCTCCTCCGTGTCTGCCCCTGGTCTCACTCGCCTTTCCCAATGGAAACCCAGAAGCCGAAGTCCCTGAGGTCGTCGGGCCCACGTCTCTGAGAACCGGTCTCCAGGGCACCATCAGGACAGCCGGCGCACGGCCGTGGGTGCAGCGCACGGAACGGCCTGGCGGCACAGCCCGGCGGGCACCGGCGGCACTTCCTCCCGCACTGAAGCCGGGGCCGCTCGGGGCCGGAAGGAGAGGGGCAGACCCCGTGTGCCCGGCGGAGGAGAGGCCCACACGATTTTTATAGTGAAAATGACCAGAACAGCCCTTTTGGTAACCTTATTGACGACAGAGTCTATTTAAGCATGTGGTTTTAATAACAGACAGTATTTTTTAAAAAGAAATTGAAAAAGGACTTGCAAATTGTTTTGTAAAAGTAATTTTGCATCGCTTGGGAACCTGAGCTTGTTGGCAAAGCCACGCCCTCCCGGCCCGCACGGGCTGCGCGCGGCCTCTGTACTGTAGCGCACGGGGAAGTTTTCTGTCCTCGACCCTCTTTGTAAAGCCAAGGTAGTTTGGTGGCGGCGGGCGGGCCGGGCACCGGGCCACGCCTGTGAGCCAGTTCAGACTCACCAAGGACTCTGAGGCGTGTCCCAGGCCGCCCGAGGCTGGGACTGGGACATGTGCCTGTCATTGTGTGACATGTGATCCGTGCCCGTGGCCCGCAGGCGGCTCCTCCCTAGACCCCCCAATTATGTGGGAAGGTCGGAGAGGTGGGCCGGGCAGCTGGCGTTCCTCCTGGTCTGTCCTCGGCCACCGGGCCGGCCCCCACCGCTGCTCTACGGAAGGCGGACCTGCTGGCCACCTCCGGTCTGCAGGCCACCTCACCCGCCCCGTCAGACGGGCGCGGGCAGAAGGCGGGCGCACCCCTGGCCGCCGTGGGGGACACTCCCGCTCCCTGCGCCGGCCACCACGCCACCCCACCTGCTTCTGAGAGCGCAGATTCAGGATTCGCTGCCACGCCGCTCTCCGCGCGGGTTCTGGCAGGCGGGACCGGCTCCAGAACCGAGGGACGTCCAGCCAGGACCTGGGACCTGCAGCAAAGACAGCCCAGCCCGCCGGGGCCGCGCCTCCCTCCCGGGGACCAGTCTACTCCCCCACTCATGGGCTTTAAATTATTCCCATAGGGGCCAAGTTCAAATAATAATTTTTTTTCCCTGATGGAATTGACCTTAATCTGTATATAACTTGTAATTTTTTTCTAATTTGTTTCTTTTCTTATTTTATTTCTTCCTTAACAGTATTTTTTGGCATTAGACATTCTTATTGTGAAGAAATAATGTTAATATAAGTACCCAGTGAAGGACCAAACCCGTGTAATAGGCTGTGTGTTGTGTGACTGAGAGCCAGGCGTGGGCGGTCTCCACGCACCGAGTCCCGCGTCCCCGCCAATCCCGCCGCGCGGCTGTCCCTGTCCAGACAATCATGTGTTTTTGTTAAATTTGAGTTGCGTTTGCATTTAAGACAAGTGTTCTATTTATTTCTTTTAACATTTGGCAGAAAAAAGAGTAATAGTGTCCCAACAAGAAAGAGAGAAGTCGCCGAGTCGCCCTTAGAAACGTGGGCGCGCAGTGAGGGCGACGCACGTCTCACGGTGCCGTGTCCTCCGCTGGCCCGGGTGGCGGGAAGCGTGCACGCCGATGCCCCACACGCCCGCCACAGCGGCCCCGGCCGGACAGTCAACCATGCGGGTGTCGGGGGCCCGGCTTCGCCCTCAAGACCCTGGTGGGGAGACCCCTGAGATGCCCCCAGCCCACGGGTCCCTGGGAAAGGGTCCCCCCTTCTCAAGCCCCGCGAGGCAGCAAGACCGAGCGCCGCCCTGGCGTGTGCTGAGAAGAGCTGGCCGGGCCCGGCACAAGGATTCGCAAACACAACCGCTCCCACCTCCCACCGGCCCGGCCCCGGCACCTCCCCTCAGCCAGGGCTGCCACGTGCGGCTCGGAATTGCCACCGGCCCTCACCTGGATGGGGTCCCCATGAGAAGTCCCCTCAGAAACACCCGTGTCTGTGCCCCGATTACATGCTTCCTGCCGGAGAAGGCGGCATGTGCCTACTTTGTGTGGTGACTGTGGAAGAGGCGGTTTGGACAGGCGGACACCTGAGTGGTGTCCCCAGCCGTCACGGCGCCACTGTCCGCCCCGAGGACCACCCCTACTGTCCACCCCAAGGGCCACCCCTGCTGTCCACCCTGAAGGCCACCCCTACTGTCCACCCCGAGGGCCGCCCCTACTGTCCACCCCGAGGGTCACCCTTGCTGTCCACCTGCCTCTGTAGACTGTCATCTTCTGTTACTTCCGGCCGATCCTCCTCAGTGTTGTAAACCCCCCCCCCCCCAGAGCCCCCGACCGGCACATGTTCAGGCCTGTGTTCCTGTGACCCTGACCGCGATCAGCGCGAGGCCAGCTGGTCCAGACCGGTCAGCCCCTCGGCCCAAGCACTTGGCAGTTCGGGGAATCCATCTTTGGACCCAACAGAGACCACTTGGTCCCCGTGCCGGTGCGTGGGGAGCATGGCCTCCGGGCCGCCTGTCCCTCCCTGTGCCCTCGGCCCTGCCACACGGGTCTCCGCTGGCGCCATCTGTGCCCGGAGCCCTGGGGCCCAGGGAGCCCGGGAGTCAGACAGTCCTGAGACCCTCCGTCCAGCTCCGCTGCTTCCTCCTGTGGGCGGTTGACTCTCACCCCCAAAGTGGAAGTTGGGGCCTCCTCGCGTCCCTCATCCCCGGCCCCCGGGCACCCGGAGTGTGGATCTGTCACAGGGTGAGCCTGAGACCCACGCCCACCCCCACCCCCCGGCCACCCGGCCCTCCCTGCACGAGGCCAAGGCACCGCCAGTCGTGCAGACCTGAGGGCCCACCAGCCCCGTGGCCGCAGAGCCGGGCCATGCGTTTGCCCAGGGCCCGGGCCGCTCGGTCCAGCCTCAGCTGCTTCCCTTCTGGACCCGCGGGCCCTCGGCCTCCTCCGTCTCGCTGCTTCCTCGGTGAGCGTTCCGTTGCAAAGCACTTGCCCAGATACGTGTCACATGTGTTGGCCTCAAAGCACTGGATTTGTGGTCCCCTGCCCCTGGGCCCTTGTCCCCGTCCCCCCCTCCCCCTGCCCCCCCGCCCAAAGTGTCTGAAATCTACTGAGCTACTCACTAGGCTGTCCCGAGGGAGGGGGGGACAGCGCCGCCCACAGGGTGCACCCCTGCACTGCCCGCCCGGGGATGCCCGCGCCCCTGGGCCGGGGAGCTCAGCGGGTCTAAAAGCCACGGCACTGTGTCTGTAGCAGCGAGCGATCCTGTGATGGCACCGTGCTCGCGTTTTCCGGAGCCTCCTCCCCGCCCTCTGTTCCAGCCGTTGTTGTGTCCTCTCTGTCGCTGACCCCAGCACCACTTTTGGGAAAATAAAGAAAAGAAGGAAAAGGCAGCTCGAGTCTCCAAATGTGCAATTTGCTCGTGAACAAAGCGATCCTGCCGGGGTCCGGCGGCGGGCCCGTCGAGGCGGGGAGCTGAGCCGCCGTGGGCGCCCGGCCTCCGCGGCGTCCGTCCCGTCGCTGCCTTTCCGATTCGGCTGCGTTTCTGTTTCGTTTGCTTTGCTTTGCTTCCAGGCTGTATAGTGTGAACAGGAAATGTAAATGTCTGGTTCTCCTATCTCGTTGGAAAAACCGCCCTGAAGCAGGAGGCTGGTGCGTCCCCGTCCGAGACTGTAAATTGCTTCTGTTGCCGGTGACGTGTGCATGGCTGGTGTGTAGCGGTCATTGTCGTGTCTCGTGCCGTGTCCATGGGAAGGAAAGTTCCGTAGATGCACTTACTGAAGACGCGTTAGGGCCTGAGGGGTCCGAGCCGCCGGCGCCAGGGCGGCTCCGAGCGAGTGCGGACCTCGCTGCTGGGCGGAGGACGCGGGAGGCGGGGTCCGGGGAACCGCGGGCCGAGCCTGGGGGTTCTGGGCGATGCTGGTGATAAGGACGGACGTGCCTGTTAGAGACGGTCCTTCCGGGCGCCGGCGCCGATGCGAGGCTAATACTGTAGAATAGGACTGTATACCAAATGTACTCTTTCCGATGCTACAATGAATTTATACTGAGATTGATATGCAATAAATCCGTGTGCTTTTCTAACCTCGTGCCCCGAGCGTCACTGAGGGCCAGCAGGGCGGGGCGGCCCGGGCGGCGGGCGGCAGTGCCGAGGTTCTCCCGCCTTCACGGGGGTTCCCGGCACGGGCTCCGGGGCAGCGAGGCCGTCCTCCCAGCACCCACCAGGCGGGAGAGCAGGACCCTGAGAGCCTGGGCGACAGCGGGAGCCTCCGGGCGAGGCGCCTCCAGGGCTGTCTGTCTCCCGACCTGGTGCCGTCCAGGCAGCGTAGCCTCCAGGTGCGGTGGCCTCCCTCTTGGTGTCCTCCTCCTCCCCTCCCCCCAAGCCTCGTCCTGAACCGGCCCCTGCCTCAGGGTGGACGTCCCCACCCAGGCTCGAGCCCGCCCCACAGGAGGCGGACAGGGGACAGGGGGACAGGCTGCTGGGGACCAGGCCAGCCTCCCCGGGCGCCCCTTCTCCCAGTACCAGGCATTTCTCTCTGAGGCCCACCTGCCTCAGGGAGCCGGGCCCCCACCTGACTCTGCTCTGACCAATGGTTAAACCTCCAAAGACAAATGATGGATCAGGATCCAGGGATGGCTCCTCAAACATGGGGCAGGGCAGGGGCATGACACGCCTGGAGGGGACAGACCTGGAGGGGACACACCTGGAGGGGACATGCCTGGAGGGGACACACCTGGAGGGAGAGGGGACACACCTGGAGGGGGACAGACCTGGAGGGGACACACCTGGAGGGGACACACCTGGAGGGGGACAGACCTGGAGGGGACACACCTGGAGGGGACACACCTGGAGGGGGACACACCTGGAGGGGACACACCTGGAGGGGATATGTCTGGGGGGGAACACACCTGA